GCTTTAAACTTTATTGTCTCTGCTTTTTGGTGTGCCTCAAGTTGAGGACTTGTGTGCTTCTATAGGATAAGGTATGAATGTGATTTCAAATAGTATGCAACTTAACGAAAACTCACAACACATAAATATATTGTTTAACTTGGTCTTAACTGGGATATATATTTCTTTCAATTTTAAGTGTACACAAGTAGACACTTAAACTTGAACAAATAGACATACACGTTCTACGTGGCATCTTATATGACAATTTGCATAAGATACACTCAAACTGATTTGTAACGTAGAACATGAGCATCTTGCTTGTTCATCTTATATGACCTCTCTCTCTCTCTCTCAATTTGGCTCTCCTCTCTCCACCCAACATGTAGCTAAACACAATAGTTTTTAATACAATTGTATTCATTGATACAAATTAGTTATATCAATTGTATTTGTGATACAATATGATATAACAAATACAATATGTATTCAACCTCTCTCTTGCCTCTCTCACATCGATCTCTCTCAAATATCATTTGTCTCTCTCCTAGCTAGTCTCTCTCGCCTCTTTCCTCCCCCAACATGTAGTTGTAAATCATAGTTAAGCAAACGATACCTATGAATCTCTAATTAAGCCCAAACTATAGTCATTTCTTCCAAGTTTTATGTGAATTTAAATGGATTGAGGCCCGGATGAACTTTATTTTCTATTTGACAAATTAAAAAATAAATATTGAGAAGTAGGTATGGTATGATAATTTTGTGCAATAATTGGCATACCTTTTTTTTCTTTTTTTGGGAATAACTACAGAAACATTACTCTCCCTATAGTTTGAAATAGTTACATGTAGTCTCACTAATTAATAATTTAATACCAGATTTCAAGTCAGATACATCTAGATACATATATGATACACTCTGAATAATATATATACATAAGGAGAGATGCATGGAGAGGGAGATGTGAGCGAGAGAGGGAACAAGTTATTTTGGGATTAACTATCTCATGATAAGTTATTTCATTATATATATGAGATAATTTACCCATTATTAAGGTATAAATGGTGGGATAAATAATCTGAAGATTACCTAATACCTTCAACCAAATGTAGGATAAAATAGACCTGCATTATATCCCTAGGATTATTGTACCTTATACCTAACATCAAACGACTCTTTAGTTATCAATACGCTTCACCCTCCTTCATGCTTGTAGTTGTTGTACACACCGTTGCAGTATACTTCTCCATATGCAGCATAAGGATACTTATAGAAGGGAATATGGTTCTCAATGTTACCTGTTAATTGAGTGGAAAGAGGATATTTGAGACTCGGAGGATAATTCATGATTTAAAGGGAATATGGTTCTCAATGTTACTTGTTCATCTTTTATGACCCCTCTCTCTCTCTCAATTTGGCTCTCCTCTCTCCACCCAACATGTAGCTAAACACAATAGTTTTTAATACAATTGTATTCATTGATACAAATTAGTTATATCAATTGTATTTGTGATACAACATGATATAACAAATACAATATGTATTCAACCTCTCTCTCGCCTCTCTCACATCGATCTCTCTCAAATATCGTTTGTCTCTCTCCTAGCTAGTCTCTCTCACCTCTTTCCTCCCCCAACATGTAGTTGTAAATCATAGTTAAGTAAACGATACCTATGAATCTCTAATTAAGCCCAAAATATAGTCATTTCTTCCAAGTTTTATGTGAATTTAAATGGATTGAGGCCCGGATGAACTTTATTTTCTATTTGACAAATTAAAAAATCAATATTGAGAAGTTGGTATGGTATGATCATTTTGTTCAATAATTGGCATACCTTTTTTTTCTTTTTTTGGGAAAAACTACATAACTACAGAAACATTACTCTCCCTATAGTTTGAAATAGTTACATGTAGTCTCACTAATTAATAATTTAGTATCAGATTTCAAGTCAGATACATCTAGATACATATATGATACACTCTGAATAATATATATACATAAGAGATGCATGGAGAGGGAGATGCGAGCGAGAGAGGGAAAGAGCTGGGAAGCAAGAGAGTCTGTGTATCTCAGATACATGTGAATCCACTTGAATATAGTGTATCTCAAGTAAATTACACTTAATTTTGACCTCATATATTGAAGATACATGTATTTGGTACGTAACTAGGCCCTAAACTAGTGGAATTTGTGTTGTTTGCTCTAATGTTTTATCATATGGCATCAATAGCCTATGTAATCGAAATTATTTTTCTTTAAATTAGAAGAAGAAAAAATTAGTACTTCTTAACGATTTCACCACACTGTTTAAATATATATATTTTTAACCAAAAAGGGCTCCTAATTTTGAGCAAAAGTGTTCCACTATTTTCTACCAAATCTTTCTACTTCCTTTTGAAGATTCAACATAACTTGGCTAGTTTTATGTTGAATGTCAAGTTACCGCAACATTCAAGTTATTTTGGGATTAACTATCTCAGGATAAGTTATTTCATTATATATGTGAGATAATTTATCCCATTAGTAAAGTATAAATGGTAGGATAAATAATCTGAAAACTACCTAATACCTTCAACCAAATGTAGGATAAAATAGACCTGCATTATATCTCTGAGATTATTATACTTTATACCTCACATCAAACGACTCTTTAGTTATCAATACGCTTCACCTTCCTTCATGCTTGTAGTTGTTGTACACACCGTTGCAGTATACTTCTCCATATGCAGCATAAGGATACTTATAGAAGGGAATATGGTTCTCAATGTTACCTGTTAATTGAGTGGAAAGAGGATATCTGAGACTCGGAGGATAATTCATGATTTAAAGCTTATGAATTCTTACCGCATTAATGAAAATTGGATTCACAATCAAATATATATGAGCAAATAGCTATTAGATTTTCGGAAACTTGAATATAAAGCTTTGGGCCATCATATTTTTTGTGCTATGAAAAATTGTTAGGGTAAAATAGAAAGCTTAAAAATGTATTATTGTTATTCAAAAAAATTACAGTCACATAAATTGAATCAGAGAGAATATATTTCTTTACTTTAATAAATAAATAAGTCTTACAGTAAAATTCATGTGCAACAATTTCCTTCAAAATGAGGAAAACAACTTCAAGTTCTACGAGTGACATTCCATATTAATTGTATCCTTTCAACACAACAACGCCATTTTCACATCCACCCTTGTAGCCCCCATTCCCACCCTCACCCCAACTCCTCTACTATATATTTATCTGAATTATATACAAATATTTTTCGTCGTACCAAACACACCCTGAAACATTTCCTCATTATGTAATTTGTGTTGGTTATAAAAGTATTTTTTTATCGAGTCTTGATTTCTTATTTTACCCTCAACATTAATTATTTATTCTCCAAAATCCAAAGGCAATACATCAATTAAGATGGATATTGTGGCAAATACCCATATTAATCGTTATTTTTTAACGAGCATGTAAAATTTAAAGTAAACAAGTGAAAGTGAACGGAACAGAGGGAGTGCTATTCATTTATATATAAACTATTGCTAGTTATACACAATAATGTCAATATGTCCGAGTGGTTAAGGAGACAGACTTGAAATCTGTTGGGCTACGCCCGCGCAGGTTCGAACCCTGCTGTTGACGTTATGTTTTTTTTCGTGTGTGTCACGTAGGACGTGTGTGTCTACTTGTTCAATTATATATACAAATTATAAGAAAATATCTACAACAAAAAAAAAATATTTAAAAATTTTGAATATAAATTTCTTTATTTTACTTGATAAACAAAAAATTACAGTATATATCATTTTGTATACATTATTATACAGTGAATATAGACTATCTGAAAGTAAAAAATTCAAAGCCCTCTCGACTATTATATATATATATTGTATAACTATGTATATTATCAACTACTATATGATCTAGGAAGGGAAGCCAATGGTAAATTATATGAAGCTCACATTTAAATTGGTAATAAGACCTAGAAGAATGTATTGATACTATATGTGTGTGGAATTGCCCAAGTTTTCACTGATTTACATTGGTAGTGCATTGAGGAAGCCTATGTATGCAAATTTAAATATTGATTTTGGTGAAACTTTACGAGTTTTCAATTTTCAAAACTAAAAAACTTTCTTGAAATGCATCTGATCACCTTGAAATAATATGCAACCCATCATCGTTAGTAAAAAATAACTAACCACATCTATAAAGAGGGTAAAATAGAGGAAATGAAACGATCTGAAGGACCAGTACATCATTGCCTACTAAACCACACGTTCATCCTCGAATGTAAAGAAATAAAAAGTACCAAAATGCTAAAAAAAATATTATAAATTTTGTTTGTTAACCAAACATTTCATAGAACATCAAACTTCAATTAATTATTTGTTCGTTATCTTTAAATATTCAAAAAATATACTATAAATTTTTGCTTTTAAAAATAATTAAAAAGTAAAACAACAAAGAAATAAACATTAATATAAACGAAATGATGAACATTTCAAAGATTTGGAGGGTTCAATGATTCGATTTTTCAACTATATATGTGTCTTATCAGAAAGAGAAGAATATTTGAATTTTTCAACTATAGTGGAGATCCTCAAATTATGCCAATTTTGAGAGTCAATGGATTGACCACTTCTATCTTTAATTAATATATAATATTCCGTATTTAATAAATTAAATTGACATCCATTTAGCAAAAAATAAATTATTCTTTAAATAAAATACTTATATGAAAAGATCTCATTATAGTTCTATAATTCAGAGTATCCTTTCTTAATTGATCTCTTTGAATTCTATATTCAAATTTTGCGATCAAATATATTCATTAAAAAAAATTAAGTATTTGTATAATCTTCTCATGTTCGAAGAAATAATTCATTAAAATAATGAATCGCCATTGATATTGACACATCCGATACTACTTCTAGTTGGCTGATAAAGTTCAAGAAGTAGTTTTTGTAAATTGGTGTTGAAAGTAAGGCAGAAAAACTTTATAGAATAATTAACACTTCACTATATCTTAAATTTCACACACATTTTTATTGCTTTATATATCTTAAAAGACTCATAATATATAAGATTTTTATCAAACCATGTATTTCCCACAACATTAGTACATTTTATGTGGTACAATACTGATTCTACATGTAGAATACAATTTTCTGTAAAAGTGGATAAATAATAAATGAAGACATAATATAAGTTACAAATTACAAAATGCCATGTCTATAAAAAGACACACTTAGTAGCAAATATATATAATTGATTTTCATAGCCCTCTATGGGATAATAAAATCAATTTTGTGGTAAGAGCAAGTACAATTTTGTGCACCAATATCACTAGCAACACAAGGAGGACTAATTCTTCCATCTTGATACCATTTTTTCCTTTGTTGAAGCAAATCAGTAATGAAACCATCAAGAGTTTCTCTAGTTATGCCTGGCATAACAATAACATGTGCCATATCTCTCACACAAGATAGTTGCCAACGACGAACGAATTCATGATCACGAGGCCTCTCGAGGACAACTATTATGCTAAGCTCATTCAGCATGACACTGATTCCTGCTTGCTGAAGACGGTCTTTTAAGTATTTAGCATTGTCAAAACATCTCTTAACATCTTTCTGGAAACCAATTTGACCTTTAGCACTTAGACTATACCATAAGAAGATCGGAGTCAAACCATTTCGACTTCCCGAAATTGTAGCATCCACAGAAGCAATATATTCAACTCTTCTTGAAAGGTTATTAATGTAACTTTTCCTTGTTATTTGAACTCCACAAGGCATTGGACATCCCAAAAACTTGTGACCAGAAATTGTCACACTTCCAATTGGCTTCTTGAAAGTAATCATCTATTATTAAAAAAATAATTATAAATGTTAGAGTTATTTTTATGTTAAGCTAATTAATATACTCTAACAAAATAAAAACTTACATTTTTAATAAAAGGAATAATAAGTCCATTAAGTGCTGCATCACAATGAATATAAAATTGATCTTGTGTATAACCACATTCTTCTAGTGTTTGAAGAATAACATCAAGGTCATCAACAGCTCCTTTAAAAGTAGTACCTATATTTAATAAAATGAAAATTATTAGAAAATGTATAAGCTTATTATAATTAATAAAAAATATCTTAATTAAAATATTTACCAATTGTAACATTAATTATTGCTGGTTTTCCCTTGTTTTGAAGTAATTTAGCTTTTAAATCAGAATAATCCATTTCTCCATTTATTGATGCATTAATATTTTCAAAATCCATTCTATACATCATTGCTGCTTTAGCCACTGAGTAATGAGAGTCTTTTGATGCATATAAAATTCCAGTTGGAAATATTTCTCTCCTGAAAAAATAAAAAAATAAATTAGACAAGTCAAAAAAATAAAATGAAACACTTTTTAATTTTATTTTAATTGTTTTCTTTAACTATATTATCTCATTCTTGACATTTTTGCCATTATATTAAAAATATTGACTTTATGATCCCAAAATAATTTTTTTCATTTGAATATATTTTTTTATAGACTTGGTGTTCAATTTTGCATAGTTGTTGAAGAAAGTGTTTTGGGCTCACGCACTCAAACTTTAAAAATTAGGATAATCTTTTTTATAATTTTCTTTTGTACTAATTTGGTTACCACCACTAACTCAAAGCTCAAGAAATTTGTTCACCAACCAAAAAAATAAAAATAAATTAAAAACTCAAAAAATTCTAATTAAAAGCATTATGAAAAAATTCTATCTTTTTCATTTGAATATAATACTTTTATATAATCAAATTGATCTGATCTAATTTAACTATAAAAAATAATTAAAATTAACTCTCGAGAATCGAAACATCAGAAACTTAGTAAAAATTAGATTCTTACCCAACCAAAATGCCATGTAAATTTCCTTCAGTACCACCATTTGTAACATAACCCCAATATTGATCTCTTTCAATTTCCCATAAATCAGCAAACCAATTTAAAACAGCCACTTCAAAATCTTTTGAATGAAAATCCACAGTATTTTGAAGAAATGGATCACCACAATTATTTAAATGGAATTGCAAAAGTGGGGCTAAATTAGCATAGTGCTCATAGCATATGTTCACTGGATAACCTGAAAAAAAAATAAAAAAAATTCAACAACTCATCATCATAAAAACAAATAAATAATTAATTATTTTTGAACAACAAAGAAAATTAATCATAGTTATGTAAAGAAAGTTTATATTTTAACATATCTAGTTTTTATTACGCTTTGATTATCGCTATAACTTGTTATGACTTATGACTATTGTTTATGATGATTTGTTAGGTTAAAGTTGTCTATTGTATTTTGTGGTGACTGTTTTCATTTCGATTCTTTCTTTCTCTATACTGTTGTTGACCCTTTTTTTTCTTTTTCTTGAGCTCAGGGTCTATCAGAAACCGTCTGGGAATACTCTACTCTTCCTGGACCCTATTTTGTAGGATAATACTAGATATGTTATTATTATTGTTGACATATTAATTTAATAATCGATGCAAGTAAGTTTTTACCATGTCAACCGTTATTTTTGACAGAATTAATTAGTCAATAATTTGAAATTGCTGAGATAGTAGTAATTTTGTCAATTAGCTATAGGAACATGCCTTAAAATTATACTTTTCAAGTTTTCAAATTAATAATTTTCATATAAGAAATTGTCAACACGACATCGTGGAACGATGTAATTGACCTAAGACTTTATAACCTTCTTGCATGTCAGCAATAGATTATGGACTCAAGTGGTGTAAGTAATCATTAATATTTATATTAAAGTAGATTGTCTACACTATTCATCGAAAAATTACTTTTATATATGTATCAAAAATATTGAACACACCCTTAGCAAAATCCTTGATTTTGCCACTATTGGGTTGCGACTCTTGCACATACCCTATATAAATACCGAATATTTATGCACCAGACTATCCTTTTGTAACAAATAGATTATGGACTCAATAACAATCATTAATACTTGTATTAAGATAGACTGTCTACATTATTCATAAAAAAAATCACTTTTTATTTACTCCGTATATTTTAAATATTGAATACACCCTTAACAAAAATCTTGATTTTGTCACTATCGGACTGCGACCCTTGCATAGATCCTTCATGAACGTGAAATATTTATGTATTAGACTATCTTCTTTTAACATATAGATAAAAGTATATAATTACTAATGATTGCGTGAATATTCTTTATACTGTCGATATATAAAACTTAAAAGTCTTACCATATTTTAAAAAAAAGAATAATTACCTATATGATAGTTGATACGTTGGGTAAGTGTATCGATATAATTCATCAATGTACAATCCAAACTAGGTCCATCATTTTTGCCTGGCTCAGTCACTGAAAGATTCAAGTTTTTTCTTGGTGTTGTAGGTGTAGATGACACCTTAAGTCTCATCATTTCACTAAAATCACCATTTACAATTAATCCAGGTGGTGCCAATCCTCTTGGAGTCACAGCTGATGGCTCAAAGTCCTAGAAAAAAAATGAACATAACTTTAGGTATTTGATCGATACCTGTTTTAGGGCTTGATTAATTTGAATTAGCACTAGAAAGTCCTATAATATGTGTATGCGGCGTTTCGATACCAGATTCATATGAACCCAATACTTTCGACATGTAGTGTAAGTTTTATATGTAAAAATTCACTATATTGTAATAAAGAGTATATATAAACCCATAACGTTAAGAATATAATAGGCTTGATGCTAAGAATTCCTACCATATAAAAGTCTACTATATTTTTACGGGCTAGGGTTTGAACCCGAAACTTCTCGTTAAATGTAGAGGGATTACTTACCACCCCACCACATTTTGTGGACTAAAGAACCATGCAAAAGACTAAAAATGATAAAACAAAGAGAAAGTCTTTTGAATGATATTAATTTTCTTTTGGTTCATTTGTCCACACAACACAAGAAATTTAAGGACATGTATACCAATCTTTCCCATTAATTTTCCAAGAAAAGGAACAAGAAACCATGCATAAAGATGAAGCAAAAAAAAGATTAACCCTCAAGTTATCAAGAAAATCCAAAGAGAAAAAATGGATATGATATATTAAGATTCTTTTAGATGCTAAAAGTATATTAATGACAACAAATTAAATTCCATAAATTGACAAACAATAATAAAACAAAAAAATTAACCACTTGAAGCCAAAAAAAGAAGAAGAATTTGCTAAGTAATATGAAGTCGAAAGAATTATATACCTTCTCAAATGATAAGCTTCCCATTCTTGAAGCTTATGTTTTTAGTTTATTTGTTAGCTTAGAATGGAAAATAATTTTGTGATAGAATTATGTATAATATCTTGAGATTATATAGGTCTAAAAGTTTGTGGGTTTGGGCACCAACCACAATTTTATTTATTTTTCCTTTCACCTTTTATCTTTTTATTCTTTTCCCCTTCACCTTTTCCTCTTGGTTTCCTTTTTTCCCAGTTTTATAAATTCAAATAATAAGTGATTGAGCACTATTGCAAAAAATAAAAAAATAAAAAAGTCATCTTGATTATTATGATTTGTGGCCAATTTTTGACCTCGTGGTACAAAAGACTTGTTAGACTTTGTTAGCCCCTTTCTCTACCAAATAAGTTGGTAGGTGAGAATTAATATAAATCCAAAAAATCAAATATTTCATGCAACAAGTGGTGATGTATATACTCGAGTTTGTAAATATAATTCATTCTTTTCTAATGTGTTATTATGATGGGGTTTTTTTAATCATATGTTCACCAACTACAAATGACAATTTTTTCTATGTTCATAACATAATATTAATAATTTTTTGATTTGATGTAATACAAGTTACAACTACTTCCTAGCTAATTTTTACTTCATGATATAAGTATCTGTGCATAATACACAGATAAACACTTAAATTTGATAATAACTGGCAATTAAACATTACTTTAATTAACTTTGAGAGTATATAAACATTTAGAGATCTTAACTCGTCTTCACTATGTTAGTTGAACAGTACTCCAACTTACAAAATGACCATCTAGACATTTTCAAAATTTATGTGTCATGTCGTGTCTGATGTCATGAGACATAGTAGGGAAGAGTTTGAATATTTATGGCTTAAGTCATCGATAGCCACTTAAAGTTATCCGCAAATTTCACCTAGACACCTTATCTTAGGCTTGTTTCAATTGAACACCTCGACTAATCAAAAAATTTACCCATCGAACACTTTATAGACAATTAGCTGAAATAAGAGAGTGTGTGTTATACACTCGCGAATGATGTGGCATAGTAACTAATCAAAAGAAGACACATGGTATTGGGCCTAGAATAACTAATAAAAAATAAATTATAATGAAAAATTATAGTATTTTTTTAGAAAGAAAAGAAAAAAGAAAACCATCCTTACCCTTTTCCTCTACCTACCCCAAAACACCATACGCGGCCATTCTTTAATCGTACTCTTATCCTCAAACATCAATTTAGATTTATTGATATTCTTTCTTCTTCTTGTGTTGTGAGTTTTTTAGAATTTGAATACATTAACAATGTCAAAGAATAATTTCAAATTCGTATTATTCTTGTTGGAAAAAATGGAGTTTCGCCGGAAATAATGAACACTAAAGTAAGAAGACGATCGATCACTGATTTCTTGTTTTTCTTTTTTGTGTCTTTATGTAATGACATTTGCTTAACATTCCATGTCAATGAAAAGGAATCCCCACTTCATCTTTTTTTTTTTTTTTGTATTTCTTTTGTTTAAAGATTTATATTTAATTTATGTTTGGGTTTAATTTGACAAAAGAGATGAACAAGGGATAAATATTTTTGGTGACAGCAGAGATAACACTTTTTCCGACGAAAAACTTAAGTTGGCCGATTTGAATGTGTGGATGGTAACAACTGATTGGGTAAGCTGGTGTATTGGAGAAAGAGAATGGCTGAAAATCGAAAAGGAAGGAGAAAGAATTGTGAATGGTGATGGCTCCAACTTGTAATGGAAAAATGGTGATGGGAGCTTTCTCAAAGAAGAAGAAGATATAAAATCTTTTTCCCTTTTTTTTTTGCTAAAAGATTATGCTACAAACACTTTGTCATGTCAGCAAAAAGGATTTAATAGGTATAAATTTCTTGCTGTCTAGGTGTTCAATAGGTACAAGTCTTAATTGAGGGGTTCAAGTGAAATATGCGGACAACTGTAAGTGGCTATTGATGACTTAAGCCAATATTTATTTGTCAGTTGAAGTATCTAAATGTACACTCTCAAATTTGAAATACTTACTTAAATGGAGGCAAAATTTAAATGTATGATTATATATTATGTCAATTAAAAAAAATATTCACTCTAGTTTTGACATCTGTCGTTGACCCACACAACTACATTTCTTACCCCTTATCGTGGGAAAATACATACTTTAGCTTCTCTATAATTAATTAAAGTGACTCATCATCCCATATATACACTACAAATTAAATATGATATTTAGCTAGACAATAAATTTGTCACTAATTATTCACTTCCCTCAACAAAAATTTTCTCCTTATGTTTACTTTTATTTATTCGCTTTAAGAATACTTATTGATATTACTCCCTCTAATTCATATTAATTAAATTATTGAGACATTTTTCATTTTTTAAATTAACTTAATTGTTCAATATTCAAGACTACTTTTTTTCCAATTTTACCCTTCATTAGTTAGTATTGGAATTAGTTATTAATTAATATTTAGTTATTTTAATCATAATTTTGATAATAATTAATAAGGGTAAAAATAGAAAGTTAAGCCTAATTTATGACTTAATCTTCTTTTCTTAAAGGGTGTGAAACACCTCAATAATTCAAATAATTTGAAATGAAGGGAGTAGTATTTTATTATAATAATCATATAATTAATTGATATTTTGTATTATATCTTACAAATATTTTAGGGAATAAGCAATTAATGCTAATAAGGTTAAAAAATGAAACCCCCCCCCCCCTCTCTATATGTGTATGTGTGTACACGTGTGTCCAATTTTACATGAATATTAAAGTAAAAATGTTGGAAGTTTTAAATCTTGCTCAAGAAGTAACTACACATGTGTTAAAAAAAAAACTTAACTTTATTTTTTTTTAAATTACATGAGATGATGTAACAATAATCCACTTTTTCTCATTATAAAAAAAAAATTGTGCGTGAAAGAACAAGTTATTCAAGTCAAAATAGTAAAAAAAAAGTTTCACCATTATTGATGATATATGACCATTTCAGAGTTACAAAATGTGTTTATTAATCATGGAAAAAGATCAAATAAAAGCCACTCAAGACCAAGTAAAAATAACTCCACTAAATGAGGATAAAATTAAATTAATTGCACCATCTTGAACCAAGTCAAAAAAATTAGGTAGTACTTTCTTTTTTTTACAATAAGCAAAACCAAAATAATAGTAATTAAAAAGATTGTTGTAATCTATTCTATTATATATTTTTAATTAATCTACACAAGAGCTTTTGCAATAGATTTAGCCAGCTGTGTTAGTTGCCTGACATGAATAGTAAGCGTGTTTAACATTAATTCAATTGTTATATTAATATTTTGATTAATATATATATAAAAGAGAAAGTTTCAATGATTATGCAAGATTTTTGGAGGTGGAACAAATGTATATTTTTAAAAGGCTTAATTTAAGTACTACTTGAGTGGAAATTTGAAAAATACTAATTACAAGTTGTGATGCAGCGGTGAGACGACTTCATTCTTAATTAGAGATTTTGAGTTTAAATTCTGGATATGGAGAAATTTTGTTGGGAGTATATATCACCATCAAATGAGTTTCGCAATGCACAATCTGAATTTAGTCGAGGCTCCAATGTGAACTTCGACATCAAATAAGAAATCAAACTAAAATAAAATAAAATAAAATAATTTAATTTAATTTGTGTAGCCCTAGCTCACATGCATCATTTCCAATTGACAATGAAAAAGCAAGTGAGATTAGGTAATAATTTGCTTATCGAAAATGAGCGGGTTGAGTTAAATTTCATTAGCTAACCACCTTTAGTTTGCACAAAAGAAAAAAAATTGGGATGGATATTTGCATTTTGTCCCCCCTTATGTATTTGTGCAGACTAATTGTTTTAGGTTTAATAAAAGAAATTCTAGACTAAAATACTCTTAAACTCAACAACAAAGATGGAAATGCCGGCAAGCGGAAATAAAAGCAGTAAATCCCATATACATGTGAATCATGCTAGATACATGTATATGGATATTTGATAAATTTTGAAATATAGATACTTAAGGAGAGAGACGAGGGACAGAGGGAGAGAGGCTAGCGAGAGAGTCAGATACAATATGTGAATTCACTTGCATATAGTGTATCCGAAACAAATTACATCAAATTTTGATCCAATATATTTGAGATACATATATCTGGATGCGTTAGATATGTATTTTGGGACCGGATATTGGTAAGAATAGTAGTTTCAAAAACTCACAAAAGACACTTAATTAATTAAACACTAAACTAGTGAAATTTGTGTTGTTTGGTCAACTTTATCTCTTAAAGCAAGAGTCAAGTTCAATCATGACTACTATTCGGATTATTCCCGACCCATCACATGGGACTCACCATAGACATAGGATATGGGCGTTGTCCAACAATTTTCCTCCCAACATCTGCCAAATGCATCATGTCATTCATGGAAATCCTACCCATAACCTTGAATATAATATCACTTGTTAAGATCAAGCGTTTACCAGGACAAACAAGCTCATCAAGCAGACATCATGTTCAATCATGACTCCAACCAAGTCATCATCAGTCCATCACTTAAACCTTACTATTGGCAGAATATTCACATTACTCAACAAATTTGATTGTTATGAGTGAGGACAATCGCGAATGAAAAAACAAGTGAGCTTAAGTAATTTGGTGAATATTTGCACAAAAAGAGATATTTTGGAATCAATATATATAGTTAATTTATCTTGGCTTAAAATACGTATAAGATAAGCAAAGCCTATGTATTCATATGTTATTTAGTACTCTACAGAAAGGGACGAATGCAGGACGGGGCAGGATGGATTTAAGGCTATGAAGGGTGGAGTGGATTTAAGGTTGTGCAGGGTGGGGAGGGATGCAAGGAGGGTTGGAGTGGTTTTAAAAAAAATTAATGTGGGGCAGGTTGTGGGTCTATGCGGTTTTATGTTATAAGTAGAGTCATAAAGCAATATCTCTTAAGATAGTTCTTTTTAAAAGTGCTAAAATATTCGAGATAGTAAATGAAAATGATTCAATCAAATATATATATAGGTAACTCATAGTATATATCTGAATCTTTGATAAATTGATGTAACCAATATGACCTAAAATCAAATCAT